GAAGCCAGTGAAGGTGACTTGACCTAACTTGTTCCACATCGTGGCCACAGGTCTGTTTTCAGCTCATGGCTCCCTCTGGGCTAATACCCATTTCCATTTGTACAAAGCTCATTTTTAATCTAGTCTTACTCAGGTAAAATATTTCAAATCTTCAGAAAAGAAGGGAAAGGACAAGTTTCTTTGTTGTGAGAAGAACTGAGGAGTTTGATAATTTTGAACACCAGTTATCTTCAACACCAGATTTTGACAATTAGGATTGGATTAGGATTCAAGTTCCATTTCAAGCATGCGTTGGAAGTAGAAGTTAGCAAGCATGAAGACAACCATGGTCCCTTGTCCTGTGAGAACCTGGGAATGGAAGGTCAGGAGAATGGGAGCATCACGGGACCGTGGCTGGGGATGGGTGGCCAGCCAAAGCCCTGTGCACAGCCTGTGGCACAGGCAGCAGAGCCAGGCTGGGGCCATGCAGCCAAAGGGAAACATGGAGGCTGCAGTCAGCACCCGCTGGGAAGCGTGCTCTGTGCAGGTACAGTGGGTTTTTCTTATCCTAGCCCAGTATTGCAACAAAGTCCTTAAATGTCAAGCTAACCCAGTGCATTTTTAAAAAATATGACTATTTTATCCTGGCTATGGGCTGTGAACATTGGCAGTAAACTCAAATGAGCATTCTCTTCCATGGAACTAAAGCCACCCAATCAAAAACAATAGCATAGAAATTGCTGTTACATTCGTGCTCAACATAGTCCACCACCACACTTCAGCTACTTGCATTGCATCTTTTTTAGTTTGCTCATTTTTAATTACTGTGTGGGTTATGTTATTAGGGGATGTTGACAACATTTAATTTCATCAAAGGCTTTCACTTAATTCATTGCGCTTCTATATACAATGTATCTTAGATTAGATATTAGGAAGAAGTTCTTTCCTGTGAGAGTGGTGAGATCCTGGAACAGGTTGCCCAGTGAGGCTGTGGCTCCTCCCTGGGAGCACTCCAGGCCAGGCTGGATGGGGCTGTGAGCAACCTGGGCTAGGGGAGGTGTCCCTGCCTACAGCAGGGGTTGGAACCAGGAGATCTGAAAGGTCCTTCCAACCCAAACCATTCTGTGATATCTGTGATGACGACCTACAAATAGCATAATTGTTAGAAAGCTTAATAACAATGTCCTACTTGCTTTAATACTGGTAATAGTGTACTCCTGTGAGGGAAAACCTTAGACACTGAAAAATCATCTTGCTTATTTCTTTCCATTAATTAGGTCTGATGGGAGCATATCTAGGGCACACAGACACCAAAGATCTTGTGGTGCTTTTGCCATACAGATAGAGAGGCATCACCTACTTTTCTAAAGCGGTTTAGCGATTGCTACTAGTGTATTTTAAATGAAAGCATAGCAACAACGGCAGAGATTATATATTCTATTTGTCACTCTGCATGGGCTTGCACAGTGAGTGTGAATGATAAAAGTTTTGTCATCGGCAGACGTGGGTGAGATCAAGTCTAGAGCCTGGCCCACAGCCCCCTGCAGCACACAGATCCCCAATTCCCGCCTGCTGTGCCCTGTCACGCTGCTATGCCAGCCCAGGGGCAGAACTGGCACGACTCCTTATGCCCAGAGCAGGAGAAATGAAACCTTATGAAAGGCCTACAGCAAGCTCCAAAAGAGGTGAACACCTGTGTGGTTGGATTTGCCTTTAAGTCCCACAGGAGGTGGCACTCTGCAGCATGATGTGGTGCTCCAGAACGAACCTTATGCACAAGCAGTTAGTATGGAAAGAAAGGGACATAAAAACTGATGCTTGTGACTGATTTCTTACTGAAAAAGCTAATTTGTGTAAGTAAATTAAATGGGAACGTGCTGTGCTGATAGAGGTGGTAAGGCAATAAGATACATTTCTCTCTGAAGCAGTGTAAGCACCTTGCTGTAAGAACACGCATTGTAAAGAGCTGTAAATTCAGGTTTTTGCCACGTATCCCAGTTCCTAAGGCTATGGGGCTGTTGGAGCCCCTGTGGCTCAAGTCAGACCACTGGCTCAGAAGCAGAGCTGGGCATTTGCTGAGCAAAAGCATGGAGGAGAATTAAAAAGCACTCATCTTTCTCTCAAGGGTCGGAGTGCTGTGAAAATACCCTTCCACAGAAAGCAACAGTGTAAGATTGATTTTACATTCTACAGCTATGGTTGTCCAAGTGTTAAGTGAGAAGCAGGATAAATTCATTAATTGAGGGAATTTCCAGGCTAATTTCCAGGTGTTCAGGGACCTGACCTATTTCAATTTGAATAATAGCTGATGACAGAATTCGATATCCACAAACATTCTCTTTAAACAGAGGGGAGAGTTGTTTTGAGTTGGATTTTCTTAATTAGTATTCCACAAATATGGCATGGTTTTCCTAAATCCAGCCAGCACTTATGTTCTTAAAAGACTTAAACTTGAAATAAAATCAGCATATTTCACTTAAATGACAGAAAATAAGACAAAAAAAGAGACTTTACTTTGTTGATTTAATCTGAATTAAGGAAAAAAAAACAACCATAAAAGCTGTCAGATGCTCATTAGACATCTCTTTTGACAATTAGACTCTAATTTCCAGTTTCATTTGCTTAATGGACAACTGCCCTGTCCATTAACTTTATTTAAGTGGATGTTAATTAAGACTAAATTACAGTTCCGAAGGTGCTACATGCTGTACCCACCTGAAAGCAAACGGTCACCTACCATTCATTCTATTGCAAAGATGGAAACTATGAGGAAAAGGAAGAAGAGAAACTAGGGAAGATGAGTTACTGTCAGTCAGATCTGGTCTTCTGGTTTCAGAATTTTTAATACCATATTTGAAGTGGTTTTTATGTTTTTTTTTAATTACTTTTTTATTTTTAGCCTATGTAGAAAGATCAGTTAATATTTATATAATGTTATTGTGCCCTGATGTCAAAATTTCCCGAGTAGGTAACAAAGAAATGTGTTTGGCTTACAATTTCTTTTAAGTGGGGCAGGCTGTGGAACACACAGCTCCTACAGTGGGTTAGTTCAGCTGCATCCAATGTCACTTTTTGGTTAATGCAAAGCATGATGCTTGCCCGAAGTAACAACAGCACCAAACAGCTCCCTTCTGGTAACTGTCTGCATTTCGTGACAGTCTTGAGCTCTCAGCAAAGATAATTCTGGTCCTGCATACTGTGCACATCTGTGGGATGAGGAAAGCCCCTGGCTCTGGGATGTTTGCAGTCTCCTGGATGTAATCTAGGTAATGTACTGACTTCACAGATCTCTGTAATAGGCTTTATATAGTGGGAGGGTTGCTCTAAATGTGCAGTCTCTCATTTAAATCCAGGCTTAACCTTTAGTACAGTACTGCTTGTCAGAGCCATCTATCTGTTAATCATTTTGATTCCCTGTTGACTGTGTTCCATCCATTCCTGTCTCTCTGCTCGGGCTTTTCTTGGCTGGAAGGGGAATAAAGTATTTTTCATTTTCTGACCCAAAATCTTGCCATAAATTTTCCACAGAGGTCAGAAACTCTGCGTGTAGTAACCTCTAGAAGTAAACTTGCGCTAATGGCAACTCTACTGCTAACAAACAGAGTAATAAAATTGATACATAGACAGCCCTAATCACGGCTATCAGCTTAATAACAGATATCTACTGTGTGAAACAATGCAAATACATTCCTGAGAACAGCTTCTGCTCTCTGTAGCATCATTTAAGACATTGTTAAGCAGAGACAGCTCCTGTGAACAGTATTTCTTCTTCTCCTGGAAAAACATGTGCGATCCTACCCAGTTCTAATACACCAGCAGTCCATGTGACTATGACAGGGGAAGATAGTTTCTGTGATGTTAACTAGGTGTGATGATAACTGGATCCCACAGCTCTCCCCCAGATAGGTGATCCTAGCATTTTTAAAATGCTGCGTTTATAAAGAATAGCGGCATCTTTTTGTTTAAGAGATTAAAGTTGTCTTCATTGGTGAAGCATTCTTTCTCACAAAGGCTAATGTTCTTATTTAGTTCCTTGACTCCACTGCAAAGTAGGTTCACTGCTGCTTTAATCTTTACAGGACAAGCAACCAGCCAGAGGCTGACAGTCACTGACAGCTGTTAGGCACTCTCTGCCTATTAGATGTGTTAATCAAATTTTCTAACTGTTAAGAAACTTCAGCATTAGCAGAACAAGATAGCTTGGTGTTTTTGACCAGGTTTGTCCAGAATATGTATATTCTGCAGGTTTGTTCGTTTGTTTTTTTTTTTTTTTTTTTCTAACAGAACGTCTCAGAAGGAATTTGAAATCTTTATCCTTCTTTTTCTCATACGGTCATAGAACATAGGTTAGAAGGGACCCCATCTGCTCCCACCTTCTGTCAAAGGCAAGGCCTGCATTAGGAATACTAGCTATCCACTCTTGTTTTGACCCTGCAGGTGCACAGGGAGAATCTGGAGGGAGTGCCCACCAAGGCAAACAGGGCACCATGACACCTGCAATGAATGTATCCACAATATCTAAGCATGCTTGGTGAGCCTAGCTGCAGCATGCTGCCATTCATTTGGTCTCTACCAGGAGGTGTTTCAGGCCAATCTGGTAAAAGTACCAATTGCTTTATAAGCTGACATCAAATCTCTTTTCTCTATAGTGGTTATTGCTATGATAACAGCCACAGGAAAGATTTTTAGAAACTGAGTGTTCATTTTGGGAATTTGTGCTTCAACTTTTAGCCCTAATGCAAACAGAGCTTGCAGGGTTATCTATTTGTGTTGTTCTCCATGACCGTATATGATATCTATAACAGTGAGTGCACATAAGATTAAGAAAAGAGATTTTAATGCATACATGTGTATGTGTTCAACCTAGTGTGCTATCAGTCAAACTTCTCATAGGTAACGGTCATTTAGTGCAGCCTCTTCCTTCCAAGTAGCACCCCCATCATCTTCTGCACCCCAAAACTATTGCTGTTGGATTCTGTGCTCCTTTTCTCTTGCAGTTTATCCATCCTTATCCCTTCTAGTGTTTTTGGGCTGCTGCTGTCCCCACATCATCCCCCAGTTTGCCTGAAGGTCTTGCAGCACTGAAGTTGGAACATAAAGCAACTGATCTGGCTGGAACTGAATGGCTTCACCTGCAAAAGGAGTAAGAATGACCGATCTCTGTATTCATACAGCATCCCCCAGAACAGTAGGTGTAAAATCAGTTTCTGGATGTAGGACAAAGCAGAAACTAATAGCATGGGTTCTGGCCAGAAAAACGTACTTTAGGCATATGTGGTGCTCTAATGGGTATAGAAGGAGCATGCTGTGCATATGTAGGTATATCGCTGGGCCAAGTCCCCTGTGCTGTAACTGCTATTTTCCAAAGCTAACAAAACGAAAAACATCTCCCTGTCCCCTGGGATTTGGGATGAAGTCAGATTTATGGCTGGACTGCTGTGGAAGCGTATGTGTTCCCCCGGGGGCAGGGAAGAGCATAGACAGTGCTTACAGTGGGTAGCTGCTAGTTTTCCTCCCTGTGTTTGTCCTGTTTTCCCCATGCAGGTGGAGCTTATGGTGCTTGGGCCCTGGAGCACAATGAGGGAGCTGCAGTAGTGACCCCCAGCCGTGGCACTTGGACAGCCCAGTTATGGATGGGGGAGGCTTCGGGGGCCCAGATCCACAGCCCCCCGCTGTTCCTGGCACGCTGAAAGCCTCCAGCAGGCCAACAAAACTCATTTTTTCACTATCTCTGCATGGCCCCTCATTACCACCACATCAAGCCCAATTTTCTCAGGCCCACCAGCCTTCCTCATAGCCCCAGTCCTCACGTCACTCTTGCTCTGGCTCTAGGAAATGAGAGCAGGCCTGGAGTCTATAAAACACCCTGCAAAACTGAGATTCCTCTGGGCAAAGGCTCTAAAGTAGTCATATTTTTTCCAACAAGCATCACAAAAATGAGTAAAGCCGAAGTACCTGTTTATTCCTACAGCATCTCAAGGAACATTAAATGTGAAATCAGCTCTCAGGGTTAAAACCTGCTCGCTGTTGCTTGTTCCACTGTCAGTTGTCAGTCTGCAGCCATTCCCACAGGATCACTGTGCCTCACTGTGTCAGCTCCGCTGTGCTCCTTGTCAGCTTCACAATGAGGAGCAAGGGGGGAAACTGGCAACCGGCACACAGGGATCAGAGGTGGAATAAATTGAGAAGGAATGGTTTATATAGGCATGAAGGTTTTGGAGCTCAGGGCCGCTGAAAACCAACAAAGAATTAAAGATATATCAAGTACTGAGACATCAGGCGTGGTTCTAAAGGTGCAGAATCTGTGAATGCTTTTAAGCAAAAGGAAAAGACCAGAGGTGGTACTAAACTGCATCAAAAGAAAGCAGGAAGAGCTAGAAATGAAGGCAATCAATTATAAGAATACAATTTTTTAGTCAGCTGCACTGGTTAACACTAGAACAGAAGTTGTGGGAGACTGTGAGGTTTTTTCAGAGTAACTTCTGTGTGTCTACATGGGATTCCAGAGATGCCATGTGACCTTGCAGTATGGAGTTTAAGCCATGCACATGAGACTAGGCTCATATGCTGTACAGGTGTGCTGAGATCTGGGCAGGCAGAATGCTGCTGTGCCCATTTCTGCTGTGGGGCAGCTGCGGTTGGAGCATCACTTCTGTCAAAAGGGGCTCTGGGTGTATGTGAAATGGGGAAAAAGGTTAGCAGCCCTCGGGCTGGTCCAAAAGCAGCACATTTCAGAAAAATGCCTATTTCAGTTCCTGCTTCCAAAGACAGTGCTTGTTGTTCAGTGTGTTTATTGTGAAAAGAGTAACATTTGAAGGCGCACACAGGATTCTGTAGCCCGACATCCTATGGGTCTGCCCATTCTGCTGAGAAATCCTCACACTGATCTCCCAGCATCTGTTAGAACTGACATATTTTTAGATGTATGTCTGCTTTCGACTTTAAGACTTGAAGAAATTGAATGGTCTGCTCACAGAGCTGCTTCCCTAGTGGTTAGAAAAAAGAAGGGGTCTCCTCTCATCTGAATTTCTATTATTCAGAGATTTTTGTTATGCCTTTCTCTCCCAGATAAGGAAAATTCTGCTCTAAGAACTTTCTTTCCCACAGACACAATTAACACCAAACTATGACCTAGTGGGTGAACGAAGAGTGGGTTCACAGCTGATTCTCACTATAGGGTTCTTTTCTTACCAGTTGCTTATCTTTTTGTTATACTGAAACCAGTTAGCTTGTTTTTCCAGTCATGGTTATTTTTCCAAGCTAAATGACTACTTATAGCCTTTTTTTTTTTTTTTTTTTTTTTTTTTTGGCTTGTTTTCTAGGTTTCAGCCAAAGAGATTCAGTCATTAGCAAGAATAAGCAGAGGGGCGCACAACTTCTGGTTTGTTTTAAATGTTAAAACATAAAGAAGCCTTGACAGCTATAGGTGCATCTTCATTATGGAAATAAATTCCACGATGTTTCGAAGTGCTCTGATACCATCTTGCCTGGGGAAGAAAAAAACAAAACCGCACTTGTTTTGCCCTGAAAGCCGAGCTCAGTTAATGTCCAGCAGGCACAGCAGTGTTTAGGGCCTAGCTGACAGGAGCAAGGCTAAGCCAGAACACTGAATAACTGCCCAAGGCGCACACACTGTCCGTTTTACATCCCAGCTGAAGCGGATGATGAATGCACCCAATAAAGGCTGCCTCCAAATGTTTAGTGGAGCTCACAGCTGTGACCCCGCTGGCGCTCCGGCCCTCACACAGGGCCACACGCAGTGTCCCCCAGGCGCTCTGCCCTGCTCAGAAGTTGGCATGGCCATACAGGGACGGCCGTCTGCACTTGCCACAGTTCCCATGGCACAATGTATGGGCAAACCAAGCGCATGTGTGAGGCCCGCTCCTGCTGCCCAGGGTTTTCCAGATGGGCTGAGCACCTCTCTGTCACACAACGTGCAGCTGGAGCTGACAGCTCCAAATGCTTCGCAAGAGTAAGCACTCGACATGCAAGAAAAGCAAAGCAATCAGCATTTTATGCATGTCAGGATGTGATCGTGTTTGTTTTAATTCATTCTCCAATCGGCTTTCTCTCAGATAAACAGCCCTCATGCTTAATAATGCCCATGCCTTCAGCCAAAAGGCAGCGAGTGCAGCTACAGGCTGTTTGTGAGCAGCCTTCTGCATGGAAAAGTTTTGTTTTGCTTTAGCTATGCTCCTAGCATGTCAAATTTCACGGGGCTCAAATAATACTTTTCTTTTGTATTAAAGTAAAGAATTTGCCTTCCGTTTCATCCAGGTAATTGCACCATCTGAAAACACAGCTTCCCACTCATTTCCTCATAGCTGTGTGCTCTCAGTGCTGGCACAGGGCCAGAGCTGCTTGCACGCGCGTGTGTGACACGGGCTGAGCTATAACATCTGTGCTGGGCCCACATGCCATTTCTGTCTGTGAGCGCTCCTGTTAGAAACAGACCTCCGTGATCAGTGAAAAACACATTGATTTAATGCCTCTTGGCACTGAAGAATGATTTGTACTGTCCCACCATGGCAAGTCTATGCTAGCAGCCCTGGTTATGAGTAGAGAACGTTTTATTATTTATCATCTTTAAACATGTTCTTCTCTGAAGAAGTGCTGCTTTTAATGATAGATATTTGGTGATGTGAATATAAAATACATCACAGTTTCTGGTGTCTTTTTTAATTTTACAGGTGACACAGCTTAAAACCAGGAACATCAAGTAAAATAACTACTGCTGAGAGGGAATAAAAGTTGGCAGGGATGGCAGTTTAAAATAGCCCTATTTTCATCCTAAATATAGGCTGGTTTAATTGAAATCTAGTGGTAGCTATGAGACAGCTGCTGTATCAAAGACCAGTGACAGCCTGCTGATGTTAGAAAAATACAGGCTGCCTGTATCTCTGCTGAGATTAAGAGGCATCACAGAGAGCACAGTAATAGACAGATTGATGAAAAGTTGAGTTCTTAAAACAGTGGTTTGTAAAGCTTTTATGCAGTTTTATTTATAATTTATTTGTCTTTGTCCTCCTAGTAAGATGGGTTTCTGCCTGAAACCAGAGGTGTGGTGCAAATCCTCGGTTGCTGTGACCTGCTTTAGCCCTGCTGGAAAAGAAGCCACAGATACAAGTAAGTCAGCTTTCCCTTCATAAATTCTGCTGTGTAGAAGCAATAATGGTATGATGTCCAGGTTTTTTTCCAGCACGGACTTTCCTAAAAATGTGTATTTCAGCTCCATGAGGTCAGCTTAATGCCATCAGTTTTCAGATGGTTGCATGGTTCAGGCAAGACCCCTCAGTACAGTAAGGCACAGTCCCATGCTTGCAAACAATAAACAAAGTGATGTAGTGATCCTCAACATAGCAGTGCCACCAGTGCCTCACTGAGTTACCCCACTAGCCAGCAGGGCCATGTGCAAAGAGACCAGAGACCTCTGAAAGTGCCTTCAAACTGAAACAGCTCCACAATTCTAAGATTTAATTACCAGAAGCAGTTGGGTATTGCAGGTGAAAAGTGAGCATTTCTCATTATGCTGCTGCTTTCAATGTTCTTTAATGACCAGGTAGAACTTTTAATTTCCATGCTTTCTGGTTATTACTATTTTTTCAGCTTCATACAATATAAACTCCAAGCTTTCAGACTTATCCTCCCTGGCAACTATTGTTATTCTTGCTTTCTAGTTCTTAATTAATATTTGCCATGTTCTTACTAAGGTAAGTCTGTACTTTCTCGTTATATGAAATTAAAAGTAGGTGAGCTTAGTTACCAACTAAGAGAAGCTTTAGGAAGCTTATAGAACACCTTCATATGTGGATTTATTTTCTTTTGATTTTGATTCTCAGGAGTGCCCTTAAGACCTTCTATCTACCCTGTCAATCAAATGAATCAGTGAGTAATTGTGTCAGAGATACAGTGTCTTGCATCCTGTGTTCTGTGGTGAGTCCCTGATTTTCCTGATTAGTGCACACAAACACTTCTTCGTAGCTGCGTGTTGCTGATGACTGAATGCAAAATAAGGTGAGTGAAAAATCTTCTGCCTCGGCTTTTGTGATTGTTGTTAGGAAGATGTCAATTCCTTTCCTTTGCCTCATGCTCCCTGGGCTGGCAGACTAAGCATTAGAAAGGTGAGGCAGTCTCCCTGAACAGGAGAAAGAGCATCGTAACAGCAGAGCTTCTAGCTGAGTGAAGAGCGTGCAGGCAAGGAAAGCAGGAAGATCTGTGGAATATGGGAGAAGACAATCCACAGAGCTATGGGATCATTTGCACAGGCATACTGAAGGCTGCCATTATGGTGGGTGAATTGAGTGTTCTGATGAACCTCCTTGGATATTTACAACTAGTGTACTTCGCTGATATTATATATATGTCATAGACACAAACAGCAATTTGGGAAAGGGAACCAACAACCTCTGAAGCCTCAGAGGTTTTCTTGTACCCATTACTGCCCCAAATGTACTCCTAAGTATCTCATCACACAAGCATGCTTCTCTCCCCTGGACTGCCGTGAGAACTGAGGCTGCCCAGGCATCCATGGGAGGCTCCTTGCATGCTGCAGGACAGGGCCAAGAGGCAGGCAGCCACGTGCAGCATGATGCCCCATGTGTGCAGGCTGCTGCAGCTGGGTCCCAGCAGAACCACGTGCTGCTGCTGTGGTACCAAAGCACACCAAGCCTCACTGGCCAGCACCTGATTTCTTAATGCCGCTGTTTGTGTAGTGCAACTTTAAATGGTTTCAGATAACTGGATTAGTGAGGTTAGACGCAATAAAGTTATCTGAGATGGGATCAGACTAAAGGGCTGTCTCTGACAATGGCCACTACTGACTTGGAGAAGAGATTGTACAGCAGTGCTTCCAAACTGACATCTCTGAGCTTTGGCAGTCTGTGCCTCAGGATCGATTCAGCCAAGAGTGATATCTGTGCTTAACAGATATGGAAGATCCCCACTGATGGTAGGAGGAGTTTTGCATGAGAAAAAGTATTCCAGCCATCCCTACTGAGTTAATGAATAATTTTGTGCAGTACTTCTCTGCATCTGGCCACATCTGATTCTCCTTCTCATACAAAAAAGCAACAGTCAGAATGATAGCAGCAGAGCTTCCAGAACCATACGAACAGAACGTGTCATCAAAACCCATAAATGGAGAAAAAGGACTCACGGGCTATGGTGCATTTCTTGAGGAGAAAAAAAAAAAAAAAAAAAAGGCTTTAATAGGTTACTTTATGGAGGGAAGGATTTTCAGTTCCTTCTAAAATAGATAGTTTTGAACAGTTCATTTCACAAAACATTAGGAAGGAAAGATTGGAGGAAATCTGTATTTCTCAGCTTCAAAATTGAGCTATAGGCAGAGAGTTCGCCAGCTCATTTTTCTCCTTTGCTGGAAACAGACATTTGTGAGTTGTGGAAAACAAGCAGTGGGAGGAGGGAGGAAATTGTCTAAGCTTGCATAAGGAAATTAGATAGTATACCTGTGTAATTTATAAGGAGCTATGGCCACTGCCATTCTTTGATACCTAAGAAGGCCATTGTAGATACACTG